GGAGGCTATTTGGCTTCAAAGTTTGCTTGAAGACTTGGGAGTTGGTCAAAAGCACGCCTTAGTGCATTGTGACAGTCAGAGCGCTATTCACTTAGCGAAAAATCAAGTATTTCATGCAAGAACGAAGCATATTGATGTTCGCTATCACTTTGTGCGGGAGATTCTAGAAGATGGAACTGTTGTGTTAAAGAAGATCAAGACGACGGAGAATCCTGCAGATATGATGACCAAGATAGTGGCAGCAGTCAAGTTTGAACATTGTTTAGACTTGACCAACATTCTGCATATTTGAGTTGGCGCCGAGAGGCGCATTTGGAGGCACCGCTAGCAGTTGAGTTTGAAGTGAGAGCAAAATTAGTCAAGGTGGAGAATTTAAATACCCCTCCAGTATGACTGGTAGGACCGGTAATATCAATGGTATTACCGGATTAGCAAATATAATGATATATATAAATATACATAAAAATATATATACCAAAGGCAGAAAAGGTAAAAAAATAAATGACCATAATTATTAATTTCAACTTCTCAATGATATTAAAAATAAAAATTTTAACTACCAATTTAAATTTTATATTTAAAATTAAATATATATATATATATATATATATATATTTATTTTGTATTGACCGGTATTTTGCGGTTTTTACGGTATGATTCCGGTACAAGCTGGTATAACCGTAAATCCGGTATTTTGAGTGTAATTGTACCGTACCAATGGCCAATATTCGGTATTATCGGTATTGCCGGCCGGTACGGTATTTAAAACATTGAGTAAAAGTATTAATCATTTGTACTTTGCAACATATTTATAATCCAAATTAATTTATACTGACAATCTAACTCAATTTTAACTCAATTCTATTGTCCTTAATATTATTAATATAATTTAATAATAACAACCAATCGTTAAAGAATAAAAATCAATTATTTTTACACATCATATCAACTTTAATTTAATATTCATCCACTCACATTATTTTAACTAACCATCACTTCATATCATTTCTTTCCTACTTTTATATCAAATCAACTTTAATTATTTTATTTTAAATATTATTCTAATATAAACTCAAAATTTCTCTATGCCACTTTTTCTAAATTAATCCTAATTATCTAAAAAAAAACTCACTTTGAGTTAATTTGAATGAATTTATTCTTTTACCACATTTGCTCCTACTTCTATCTACCTATCTATTTCTCGATTTATGTGTGTCATCCTTGCGCAGGTCATACTAATATTCTCTGTATCGTTTCAATATATCGGATGTCCCCGAAGGGACTTCTATCTACCTATCTATATATGTATATAATGTTCTATGTATCGTTTCAATTTATCGGATGTCCCCGAAGGAACTTCTATCTACCTATCTATTTCTCGATTTATGTGTGTCATCCTTGCGCAGATCATGCTAATATTCTCTGTATGGTTCTAATTTATCATATGTCCCCGAAAGGACTTCTATCTACTTATATATTTCTCGATTTATACGTGTTATCCTTGCGCACGTCATGCTAATATTCTCTATATACTGTATAAATTGCATGGCAGCATATAACCAATTTCCTTGTCCTACTCTTGTGGATCTTGAGGACACTCTCAACCCACACAGCACAAATATTTCCCCAACACACACACACCCAACTGAGTCTCTCTCACATTCTCTTCTCTACAGGTTTGAGTATGGCATCAGGTAAATTACGCAGCAACAAAAGGTCATCAGCAACCTCAACATCAACCACAACAATCATCATCTTCATACCACTCTCTCTCCTCCTCCTGTGGCTGCTCACTTCCAACACCTTATCACCTACCCCATCCCCATCGCGGCCCGCCGCAGCCACGAAAACTCCAAATCCCGTAAAGCCCATCTCCCGATCCCAAAAGCCCGAAACCCACCACGTCGACCACGAAGACATCCCCACCCACCTTCCCACCGACGACAATGACAACGAAAAAGAGGAATCCGACGACCCAAAAGACGAGCAGTCCAATTCCAATACCAACCCTTCCAACAACGACAACAAAGAAACGAACACGGAAAACAACGAAAAATCTGACGACCAGTCCAATTCCAACACCAACCCTTCCAACAACAACGACCAAGAAATGAACACGGAAAACAACGAGAGCACAACCACGGCCCAAAGCCAAGAAGGTGAAGAAATTCGTAATGGGCCGGAAGACACGGGTGTTCAAGAGACGGGGGCCCACGAGATCACGGACAAAGACCAGCGGGAGCGGATCGACGAGCATCAGAGGCAAGAGGACGAGCAGATGATGGAGCCGCAGAAGAAGGATTGGGAGTCGCGGGACCCGCGTGGGGCCATAAGCCGGGACCAGATCGAGCACGATGAGGCCCCTGTGGACGAGTCGAGCGACGACACGCAGAAGCCGTGGTCCACGCAGGCGGATGAGTCGGTGCACGAGAAGGAGAGGCGGAGGTCCGGGTGGTCGGATAGTCGAAACAGCAGCTACGAGTACACGTGGCGGCTTTGCAATGCGACAGCTGGCGCGGACTACATACCCTGTTTGGACAACGAGAAGGTTATTTCAAAGATACACAACAGGAAGCACCACGAGCACCGGGAGAGGCACTGCCCGGAGCCGTCTCCCGACTGCCTAGTACCGCTGCCCAAAGGGTACAAGACGAGGATCGACTGGCCTCAGAGTAGGGATAAGGTATGCCACGATGAGTTTTTTTATTATACATTTTTCCTTATGTTCAGTATTGTGTTTGTGTTATTTATTTTGATGTGGTGGCAGATATGGTACCACAATGTGCCGCACACGACGCTAGCTGAGGTTAAAGGGCACCAGAACTGGGTGAAGATGATGGGGGAGTTCCTCACCTTCCCGGGAGGTGGGACCCAGTTTATTCACGGCGCCTTGCATTACATTGATTTTCTTCAGGAGGTGAGATGAAGGGCAATCAGTGAAAACTATAACAAAGTATTCAATACAAAATAAAGAATTAAGGATAATTGCGTTTACGTCGTAGACATAACTGTGATGTTCAGGCAGTGCCAGATATTGGATGGGGGAAGCACAGCCGGGTGGTGCTCGACGTTGGCTGTGGGGTAGCCAGTTTCGGGGGTTACCTATTCGAAAGAGACGTTCTGGCAATGTCTTTTGCCCCAAAAGACGAGCACGAGGCACAAGTTCAGATGGCACTCGAACGAGGCATACCAGCAATATCGGCTGTGATGGGCTCTCAAAGGTTGCCCTTTCCTAGTAGGGTCTTTGACATTGTGCACTGCGCGCGTTGCCGGGTCCCTTGGCATGCAGATGGTTATCTCTATAACATAATATATAACTGCTTTTTCAGCAATGTTATTATTAATCCACTTAAGGAATATTAGTCAAAAGTATTATCTAATTTTTTTTTTTTT